TAATTAGCCCTTTGTATAAACCGTCCTGGATCGCCCTCATTTGAGCAGGCCGTCAGTTTCTCGATGCACGGGAACGCATCTTCCGAGTCGACGTTAAAGACGGTCTGCGGTCCCCAGGTCCCCAGGCCGCGGCAGACCCCTCCGGACCATCAGTCGTGACACTCGGTCGCTGGCCCAGCCCCGCCCTGCCCGGCACAGCGGCGTCGGGGAACTGCAGGGCGCGGCGGAGCGACGCGACGAGGACCGCGAGTCTGGCCCCAGAGCTTTCAGCGTCGGGGCGGACCCGGCACCCCTGCGGCGCCCGGGACGCGTCCCCATGGCGACGGGCTGGGCGGCACTTCCGGCTCGGAGGGAAGAGGCGGAAGTCCCGCCCCCGACAGCAGCCCCCGGCTTCCCGTGGTGCCTTGCGAGCCGCAACGTAGCCGGAAGCTGGTGGCGGCGGGGTGGGCGGCCGGCGAGAGTCCTCGGTGCAGCTCGCTGCGCTGCCCGACCCCAGCCCGGACCGCGCCCGACCCCGCCGGAGCCCGGATAGCCCCGGCGCGCAGCCCCGAGCCCGCCCGGTAAGTGCGCGGCCCGGGGTCCCCGGCGCCCGCCTACCGGACCGGCTCGGCGAACGCTCCCGCCCGGACCCCCGCCCCGAGGCTGCTGTCACGCAGGGCCCGGACGCGTCCACCCTGCCCTCTGCCGGCTCCCCGAGGCTGGTCCGCCCGGATCCCCGGCCCGCCGCCCTTTTAGCCTCTGAAGCTGCCCTCGCGCCCCCAGCTCCTCTCAGTCACGGGCCCTGCCCATCACCGCCGCCGTGGGCCGAGACGCCCCGGTCCCCGTCTCCTCCCTCGGACCCAGGACATGGCCTGGACATGGGGTCCAGTCAGGCTGGGTCCGCAGGGGCCTCCGTCCAGCGGGTGTTGGCCAGGCCAGCCTGATCAGACGTGCAGCCCCCGCCTGCTTGCCTTCCCTTTTCTCGCCTCTGCGGCGGACGACCGTCTTGGGGGAGGGGGAGAAACCAGAAAAGGACCTTAAAGTTTTCTTCCTTTTCCGCGAGTTTGCGGAGAACTATACCTCTTGTCTGGCCTGTTAAACAGCTTCGTTGCGAACCACCAATTTTAAGAAATAACTGCTCATTTAGTGCAGGTCTAACACTGCCGCCCGGCTCTGTGTATGATCGTGCCACACGGAGCTGTAATAATGGCCTGGGGATCATCGGCTCTTGAGTTCGTGTTGGCATCCCTTTCTGGGTCGTAAGTTCAGAAATGACATATTAGGATGAGAAAGGGCTGTTCCCAGACAGGCACTTTGTGTGCTCCGGATGGTGTCTGAGAAAGATGATGACTGTTTCTGCCTGTCACCTGTGTTAGAGCCCTGGGGACTAAGAATTGTGTTTTAGTCATCCCTTCTAATCTCAGGTGTTGAGAAAATCCCAACTTGGAGACCAAACATTTTGCTGGCTGTCAAGCGGCTCACTAAACGAACTAGGAGGCCCTGTCATCCCTTGGTCCAGCGTTTACTGAGGTTCTGTCCGCTTGCAGAAAGAGCTACATTGTACCATCTTGCTTTCAAGCATTGAAACAGGAGTTCTTGAATCATTTTTCAAGATAAATCGTATTTAAGGTTTTGAAAGGTAGGAGGTATTTGTATTAAACTTAGCATTTCTGAGAACTTGGATCCTCACATCCAAAGCCAGTTGCCAATGGGGGTTCCCTTTAAATCCAAGCCAAGTCATTTATTTTTCACGCTTACTCTGTAGTACTTCTGCAAATGTTCACTTTGCTTTATTTTATGCAATGGGAACTTCAGAACAGGCTCACCCCAGTTCTGAGTTCAGTTTGCCTGTGTCCTGTCAGCCACAATGTGAGCCTCTGGAGGCAGACACGGTTCTATGCAGAGGGTGCAGGGCTGTACTGGGCAGGTGTGCGTGTCAGCCCTGTGCACCCGCCCACATGGGGCCCCCAGTGGCCGCCGGGAGACCCGTGTGGGCTAAGGGCTTTGTAAATTCAGACGCAGGAGGACATCTCCCCCAGTGTGTGTTTGCTCGCTTCTTCCTCTGACACTATGGATGGGTAGACGCTCAGTGTGGTGACTGTTCCATCTGAACTGGTCAGGCCAGGGCCCAGGACCGGGCAGGACCGGGCATTCACGTTTGCCCTTGAGAGCTCGTGGTTTCCGGGGACCATCACTCAGCACAGAGAACTCCAGGGCAGAAAGCCGTGAGTAGGCTCTGGTTTGTTTCCATCAATCCCAGAAACAACCGTTTATTTCTAACTGCGCCTGGAGTCGAAGGGGCACTAGGGGTGTTGGAGTCACGGACTCCCCGCTGAGGAGGTTTGGTTGTATGCAGAGTCGGGGCTCCCTCAGTGAGTGGCTTACTTCTGCGTACTTAAGATTAAAGAGGAAGTACGGACAGATTCTCCTGGGTGTCTTTCCCTGCGCCTCGACCTACAGCTCTGGCTACGCCATTAATGGAAGAGCTGGTCTGCGTGGCGAGCTGGCAGAGAGACGCTAGTGTGGACGTTCAGCTGTGCGGGCACGGAGCTTTCTGACTGGGGTCCTCATATGTCCTCGAGAGGATGTGTGCTGCCATGTGACTTAGAGGGGACAGCTCACGGGTTCCATTCACAATCAAGAGAAGGGCGAGCTTCAGGAAGGCCGCGTGCTCAGTATGGGGTCTGGCGGCGGTCAGTAGAGGTGGCAAGCACAGGACCAGCGGGGGCAGCTTATGCGGAACACCGTGCGTGTCCCCACCCCCTTCCTCCGGCTGGAATCCTTCAGTATTTTGACTTTCCAGGTTATGAAATCACTGACCTGAGGGTTGAAGTTGAATTTTGCCAAAGCTAGGAGATCTGTAAAAAAATGAATGGCTTTCAGCCTGAGCTGTATGACTGCACTTCCCCAGCAGTGTCCCTGTGAGGCGTGGTGACAGGTCTGCCCTATTGTGGCTATGCTGTGTGTCACCTCTGTCCCTCACAATGGTCCCATGGAGGACCTACCTGCTGACCCTCCTGCGGGCCAACCTCCTCACCCATCGGTCAGGGCCCCCCACAGGCCAGGCGCCCCCCTGCAGCACGCCGGGGAGGTGGCGGGAAGTGTGTGCAGAGAATGCGGGGCTGCCTGTCTCTGGAGGCTGTCAGCCCAAGTCCGCGTGTCACCCGCTAGTGGGCGGTCTGCGTGTGCTGTAGTGAAACCACCGATGCTGCGAATGAACTTCATCAAAAGAGGACTTCCGGAAATCGTGCCGCTGCGGTGGCGCGTGTGCTTAGCAAGGTGGACACCCATGTCATCCCCAGCGGCTGCCTTGCCCTTGGCCTGGGGGCGTCCAGATCGCTCCTGGTTTCCCTAGTGTGTGGAGAGCAAGTCCCTGCCTGCCTGCAGCAGGTGGCCGCCCGGCCCTGCCGCACCTAAGGAGCTGGGCGGGGTTTCTCCGGCGCTGTGTTTTGCTGTGTTTTTGCACTGACCATCCATTTCCTCGTAAAGTGACCGGTTTGTACATTTCAAAAGTTTGTCCTTCTCCTTGCAGCGTCATGGCCAGCCCGAGAACCAGGAAGGCCCTTAAGGAAGTCAGGGCTCAGGATGAAAACAACGTGAGTGTCCGCTTTTCTCCGACGCGTCCATCAGGGTCCGCCAACCTCTCGGAAGTGGCTGGCAGCCCCAGAGCCTGCCCTCCCTGTCGCTGTTGGTCTCCCAGCCAGCCTCTCCTCTGCGCCCTCTTGGGGCACCCATCGGGTCCTTGGGATCCCTGGGCCCTGCCTTGAACCACCTGGGTGAGGCACACATGGCCGTCTTTGCAGGTGTGTTTTGAGTGTGGCGCGTTTAACCCTCAGTGGGTGAGTGTGACCTACGGCATCTGGATCTGCCTGGAGTGCTCGGGGAAACACCGCGGGCTCGGGGTGCACCTCAGGTCAGTGCCCGCTCCGGCTGCCGGGGCTCCGGGGCCAAAGCCGTGGTCACGGGCCTGCCGTCTGCTGCAGGGCACCGGGAAGGCGCTCCTGCTCCAGGAAGCACAGGCATCTGGCCCTTGACTCGGTGGGGGCGGCTCTTGGGTGCCCAGCGCTCAGTGACGGCTCCGGTCCTCGGTCCCCAGCTTCGTGCGCTCCGTCACTATGGACAAATGGAAGGACATCGAGCTCGAGAAGATGAAAGCTGGGGGCAACGCTAAATTCCGACAGTTCCTGGAGTCTCAAGAGGACTACGACCCTTGCTGGGCCCTGCAGGACAAGTACAGCAGCAAAGCGGCAGCTCTCTTCAGGGACAAGGTGAGGACACGCCGGCCAGCAGGGTCCAGGCTGTACCCATCGGCCGCCCTAGCGGTTCCCGGAGTGGGGATCCTCTGTGGGTTCTGACACACGCGCTGCAAGCGTGCGCGGTCCCCGGCCGGACAGGGTGTGTGGCCCCGTGTCGACCCAGCCTCGGGGACAGGTGGCAGCGGTGAAGGCGGGCCTTCCTCCCCAGCTCCGGGGAGTGTGGCAGCCAGACGCCTCTGTTCATCTTGGTTGAAATACTCGACATGGTGCCCGCTGGGGACAGAGGTGGGACCGAGCATTTGGGGTCGGAGCCACTGACCGAGAACGCACTGGCACCTTGGCAGGGGGGACTCAGTCTCAGTGTTCACACGGGTAGAGACCCTGGCCCACAGCCGCCGAGCCCAGAGGGGCTGCATGCAGGGTGCACAGGAGCCCAGTGGGAGCCTGTGGCGTCCACTGTGGCCCTGCCAGGCCCGGGCTCTCTGACCCTGTCCCCTCGGCAGGTGGCCACTCTGGCCGAAGGCAGAGAGTGGTCTCTGGCATCATCGCCCGCCCAGAACTGGACCCCGCCCCAGCCCAGGACCTTGCCGTCCACTGCCCACCGGTAGCTACTCCTTGGGGCCCTGACTCAGGGTCACTCAGGCCTTTGCCCTGCCCTGCTGTGATGACAGCTCCGACCGTGAGCTCTTCCCAAATGCCAGTGGGAAAAACAAAATGTTTCAGGTCGCTGAAACAACATGAGCCTTTAGTAAAAATTCAATCTACAAAGACACGTATGAAGTGGAGCGTGCCGTCCCCTTGCTCATTAGGCACCAGCCTGGTGCAGGGCCCTCCAGACTCATGCCCACACCTCGTGTGCATCTCCACAGGACGTCCTGTTTCCTGTCTCATTTTGTCTGAAGGTGGCGACCTCCCCAGGGCGCAGGCACGCTGTGGGCAGGTTGAGCCCATGGCGGCTGTCCTGCATCTCACACCCCAGAGGCTTGGTGTGGGGAGAGACCGGGCCCAGAGAAGGCTCCGCGGTTACTCGGGTGCCAGTGGCCCTCCCCACCCACTGACCCTGCACATTAGGTTGAGGGGTTCCCTCTGCTGCCTCCCAGCCTCATGGGCAGGCATGAGGCCCCGCCTCCAATGCCGTTCTTGAGGTACCCCGTGGGCCCTTTGGGACAGCACTCTTGGCGGCCCTCGTGGTGCTGGACGGGCATCTGCTGCCCTCTGGTGGCCGCACCGACCTTCAGCTCCGTTTCAGAGCCTCAGGCCCGCCGCACAGCTCCACCGCGTCTTCCGACAAGGCCTTCGAAGACTGGCTGAACGAAGACCTCAGCTCCTACCAAGGGTGAGGCCAGGGGCAGCGGGGGCGTGGCCGGGGCCGGCCGGGGCGGTCTGGTCTCTTGGGCAGTCTGCAGGTCAGGAGGGCCTTAGGCCCGCCTGGAGGGAATGGGGATCCGGCGTGGGGAGGAATCCTGACCTTACAGGGAGGAGTGTGTGCTCCTCCCTGGATCTGCCTGGCCTGGAATGGTGTGTCCCCGGAGCCCTTGCGTTGAATCGTTAGCCGGTGCGCTCTCTCGCTGCTGGGTGGCTGTGGGCCTTGCCAGGCTCGCTGGCCAGATGCAGCAGGAGGGGCTTCCGTGGGCGGAGGGACGCCCTGCCCCGTGCGTCCGTGTGCTCAGGGCCGCGGCGTGCCGGGCCGCGGGCTCTGTCCTGGGGTCGGCCCCTCCCCATGCAGCTTTCGAGAGCGTCACGGTGGCTGCTCGTGTCTCCTCAGGGCCCAGGAGAGCCGCTACGTGGGGTTTGGGAACACGGTGCCGCCTCCGAAGAGAGATGAGCACTTCCTGAACAGCGCCGTGTCGTCCCTGTACTCGGTGAGGGCGCGCCCCTGTCTCCATGGGCCCCCCGCGCTTTCCCGTGCCGCGCGCGTGCCCCTCTGGTTGCAGCCCCTCCCCTTCCTCACAGAACGTTCAGGCCCAGACGTACCAGCTACTCACGTTGGCAGCAAACACTCACTTCACGTTAACGAGGTGCCTTTCCCCCAGAGAACCCGTGCTCCGCGTGGAGCCCCGTGGCTATCCTGTCTGGGGGGGCCCGTCGGCCACTCTGCAGTGTTGCACTGTGGGCCAGCTGGTCACCATGAGGTTTTGGTGGCCGAGGTGAAGTGTTCGTGGTCTGCACGGGCTCTGGTGCCCTTTGGGGATGGCGCGTCTTCGCCTGCCCTTGGCCACTCTGGGTCAAGTCGTCATTTTCCAAGGAAACTTTGTTTTTAAAATGATGTTTACTTGTCGAGCCTGGCCTGTGACATGACCGCCAACGCCAAGGGTCCGCCTGGTGGATGCTGCAGCCCGGCCCTGGGCCGGGAGGGCTCATCAGCTAGGGGCCGGTCTCCACATGCTTGGGGACCGCAAGCTCGGGGTGGCCATGCGCGTGCACAGGTCCTGGCCCGGCCATCACTTCGAGCCTGAGTCAGGTGTGGTGGGAGGGTCACTGCCACTTGATACCATTCTCCCCACTGTGGACATTTACCCCAAAATGAGGGTTGTCTGATCCCTCTTCACCCAAGGCGCCCCATTGCCAGGCCTCAGCCCTGCGCCGTGGCACCCGGGCATTCTGGGGGGCTCCAGGTCGCTCTCCCCACAGTTGCTGCCGAGTCTGCTCCAGGGAGAAAGACCGGTTTTTAGCCAAAAGCCTGCCGTGGAGGAGTTGATGTAGAAAAAGGTGCCGGGTGTGGTGTTGGGGTCCCCCTGTGCCGGGTCTGCAGGGCCTTGGTCCTCGCCGTTCCTTTGGATGCGCCCCACCCTGGGGCACAGCCCCTCCACCTTTCCTCCTGCGGTACGAGGCTGCAGCGGGCGAGTGTGTGTGCCCTGGTAGCTTGAGCTTGGGTCGGAGGCTTAGGGGACAGCCTTGACCTTAGAAAAGCACGGGCTGCACTGGTCCCAGCGTCTGTCGGCCCAAGTGGGTGCCAGGACTGGGCGGGGGACTGACAGCTGCTGGGGAGCAGGGCCAGGCGGGGGCTGTGGGCAGCTGGTGCCCCACTGAGGTCCAGGCCTGGCCCTTTCGGGTCCTCTCCAGTGGGGCCGGGGCCGGCAGACCGGGAGGTGGCTTGGCGTGGGTCAGGACAGCGGCTTCCGGGGCGTCGCCTGGGACCCAACGCAGTCCCTGCCTCCTTTCAGGGCTGGAGCAGTTTTGCAACCGGAGCCAGCAAGTTCGCCTCGGCAGCTAAGGAGGGTGTAAGTAGCCTGCCCCGACGCACCACCAGGCCCACGGTACCCTCCCCGGCTGGCCGACCTGGGCTCTGGGAAATGGGGAGGATCTGGGGGAGGGGAGCCTCCCCCCACGCTCAGGCTTGTGCCCGCCTGCCCCAGGGGGCTCGCCCAGCCAGAGTTCCCGAGGCCGCAGTGAGCCCTCACGGCCACATGAGCTCTGCGCCAATGCGCCAATGGGGTGCTTATCCGCATGTCACCGAAATGCTGGCAAACGTCCAGGTGGCTCTAGAGCGGTGCGGTGTGGGGGGCACAGAGTGTGACCAGATCTGCCCTGTCCCCTACAGTGCTGACAGACCTGCACCCCAGGCCGAGGGAAGCAGGTGGCGGCCCTGCAGCACCCCCGCTCTGCCGCTGGGTCCGAGCCATGTGATTGGCAGGCGGAGTTGGCCCACGGCCAAGGGAGGAGGTGGGGATTTTGTCAGGACAGGCCGTGGGGACTAGGGGTGTGCTCGTGGCCCTGGCAGTGATCTGGGCATGTCCCCAGGGAAGGGGCAGGCCAGAGAACGACTAGGACAGAGTAGGTGCCCCCTTCTGCCGGCCGGCCTGCAGCAGGGTGGCGTTGGGGACAGCCCCGCTGGGCCCGAGCTGCAGCAGGGTGAGCACTGGTGCGTGTCCCGGTGGCATCAGGAGACAGGCCAGGGACGGCGTCCGTCTGAGCCCCAGCAAACGCGGCCCGGCGGCCCGGCCAGGCCAGGCGGTCAGTGAGCCCTGTCTGTCTTCTTTCAGGCGACAAAGTTTGGATCCCAGGCAAGTCAGAAGGTAACCGGAGGCGTCCGCACTCTGTGTTCTGCTCAGCTCTTGGTCTGACGTCCGCTGGGTGTCTGGCGGTCCCTAGCGTGCCATCCTCGGGCCCCGCGCTCGGGATGGGGCAGTGCCGCGTGCGGCCTGGGTGCTGACGTGTGCACATGTTTCGTGGGCTCCCACGTCAGCCTGCGGTACTTCAGATCCCTGTGGGTTTGGCAGGTGGGGTAGGAGGCTGCATCTGCTCAGGGCCTGGTAGGCTGGAGCCATCGCCCTGACCATCACAGCCTGGGTGCCAGGCTGGATGAGGCTGCGTTGCTGGGGCTGTGAGGTATCCGCTGAGCCAGCGTCTTCTTGGGATGGTGGGGCTGACCTCTGTCGCTGGCCAGTGTCTTCTCTTGCTGTGGGTGGCCGTCTCGAGCCTTAGCCCTTTTTCCTTCCACTCTTGGGTAGTGGTCCCTGCACTTGCCACGAGGTGCCGGGGCTCTGGGCCGGTGTGGCCCGCAGGGCTGGGGGTCAGGGTTCGTGCAGGAGGCAGTGGCCACAGGGCCAGCCACGGGCTGCATGGGACCCGCCAGCACGCCCCACGTGAGGAAGGGGCACCTCCTGGCCCGAGGCAGTTTCTCACCGCCCGCTCAAGCCCCTGCCTGGCCCTGTCCTGAGCCCCTACTTGGGCCCCTGAGTCACGCTCGCTCACGCAGCTTTGGAAGGGGGTCAGTGGCAGCACAGGGGTGCTCCGAGGCCTCCCTGGGGCCCTGTCACGAGAGTGAGAAACGGGTGGCGCCCACGACGTGTGGGACGTGCTTTCTGGGGTCACCCACTGCTGTTCCCACCGCCTTGCTCTCTCTCTCTCCCCCACCTGTCTCCTTGTGCCGCTGGGTATAGTTTTGGGGCTCCAAGCAGCAGCCAGAGCTGGTAAGGCCCCGCGTCTGCTCTCCGCGTGCCCCCTCGCCTCTGCTGCCCGCCGTGGCCCATCTCGCGCTTGCACCTTCTGCTCATGCTCGGGGCTTCTTGCCAGCCTGTTGGGTTCCTGGCCGTGCACGCTGCTGGGGGACCCACACTTCCCTTCGTGACCCGGATGCGGGGGTGCTGCTCCCACAGGGCACCGATGGTCTGAGGCCCCTGCGGCCGCCTGGCAGGATTTCCGTGCCATACCCCACAGGCGTCTCATCCCAGGAGCGAGGTCCTGATGGCCTCCTGTCAGGGCCGCCACCATTCGATGCCCTGTCTCGCAGCCCCGCTTGGTCCTGAGCGCGCCTCGGGCCTCAGATCAGGCCCGCTCTGGCCCCTCTGCTGCCCTCCAGCCAGCTCCCCGCAGTGCCTGCTGCAGGGCAGGTGGGGCTCGTGCTGCGCTGGTAACTGCATTCCTGGGGGAGCATGTGACCTGCTCTTGGCACATGGTCCTCGCTGGACAGGGTGGACTGGGCAGTGATGGGGAGGCCCTGGAGATGACGGCTGGACAGGGCTGGTGCCGTCGTGGGCCTCCTGCAAGACGCACAGCCGGGGTGGGGATCCCGGCCTCCGTGTGGCCAGGGTGCTTGGGGGCCACTTCAGCACGGCTACGAGAGCACGGGGCGTCCCGTGTGCTGGCGGGCTGTCACCGTCACTGCAGAGCTGGCGGCTGCTGTGCTGGCCCTCGTTCTGGGGTGAGCGTGCCCCCCAGGAGCTCCTCGCCTCCCCTCTCACGGCGTCTCTCCTCCACGCAGGCATCAGAACTGGGCCACAGCCTGAACGAGAACGTCCTCAAGCCCGCCCAGGAGAAGGTAACACCCCTGCGCTACACGTCATGCCGCCCCCGGCCCGTCTCGGGAACAGGGGTCGCGGTGCGGTTAGGGCTTCGCCCCGTGTCCCTGTGCTCCTTGTGCGTTCCCTGTGTCCTCCGTGGGCTCCAGTACCAGGCTCAGTGAGGCCTGGCTCACGCTCTCTCTGAGGGGCCCCCACCCCGTGAGGCTGGGTGGCAGAGGAGGCCCAGACCGGGCAGGAGAAGCTGTCAGGCTGGGACTTCGGGGTTGTGGGTGATCCAGAGACCCCCGGAGCGGACAGCGCTATAGCCCAGCGTGGGGTGCAGCCCCTGTTCCCCGGTCCCGTCTGGGGTGGGGGGGACACAGCCAGGAAGGCAGGCTTACCCGACGCAGCTGCCGCCGCGGGGGCGAAGGGCGGCAGGGCTCCTGCCCCCCGGCTGCCGACGCCGCTTTATCCTCGCAGGTGAAGGAGGGAAAGATTTTTGACGAGGTGTCCAGTGGGGTGTCTCAGTTGGCGTCCAAGGTAGGGCGGCCCGCCCGGCGTGCGGGCACCGTTGGGGCCAGTCTCCACGTTCCCATGCGCCGGCGCCAAGGGTGGGCCAGGCCGGGCGCGCCGTGCCCTGGTCACTTCCCGGCCCCAGTGGCCCTGGCCGCCGCCATCCTCTGAGGTGTGAGGAGGCCAGGCCGACGCCCCGGTGCCGGCGGCTGGAGGGACGTGGAAACAGCGTGGCGGGGACGCGGCACGGCCACTAACCTGCCGCTTTTCTCTGTCCTCCTGCTGCCGCTGACCTTCCGCTGGTGAGTGCCGGCCCTGGTGTGCTGGGGACGCCTGCTGTCTGCCTCACGGCACGGCTGGGTGCGCGGGGCCCCGCTGCGTGTGCCTGTCAGGGAGCTGCCCTCGCTCCCGAGCCGCGGCCCATCCCTGTCCCCCCGGGCGGCCCACCCGCGGCCAGCAGAGCCCGTCCGGTGCACCACAGCGACGGCGGGAGACGGCACGGTGGCGGTGCTGCGCGTTTCGGAGCTTGGCTGGCCCTTGGGGCAGGAGGCCGCCCGGGCCCAGGCCGAGCCACTCCCTGTCTCCTTCCAGGTCCAGGGCGTCGGCAGCAGGGGATGGCGGGATGTCACCACCTTTTTTTCTGGGAGAGCGGACGACCCTTCAGACAGGTATGCTGGGTCGGTGTCCCGGTGTGGGCCCCCCTTCCCTGGACTTTCTGCCGCAGGGTCTCCGGGAGGTGGTTGGCACCCCGGGTTCCAGGGGTCCCCGTGAAGAAGCCCACGGAGGCTGCAGGAAGGCTGGTCCCCCTCTGCCACGCTCTGACATTCTCATGACCCTGCGGGAACTGCCGGTGCCCGGGGCTGGGGGAAACGGGCCTCGAGAGAGGGTGGCCGGACCCTGGCCCTGCTGTCCGTGCAGTCTGGGTGGTCGCAGGGCTGGCCCCTGGGTGGCCCTGTCACATACACTGGCTCTCATGGTCTGCACTCAGCTCGTGCCCGGACTTTGCTGCTGGGGTGCAGTCTGGTTGGCCGCCTTTTTCTGACCCACGGGTAGGACCCCTGAGGTCTGACGAGATGGCCATGGGCCAGCCTGGAGGGTCTGCACCAGCAGGCACGGCTGGCCCGCTCCGGGGCAGCCAGGCGGCCGCTCCTCCCAGTGCACTGCGTGGTAGCTGAGCACTATGACCACCGCTAGTCGGGTGGCATGTCCTGAGCTGGCCGTCCAACGGTGCGGGGGGTCTCAGCATGCTGGGTTGCTCTCCCCCTTGGTCACTGCAGAAAACTGACCCTACACGTCTTCACCAAAACAGCCTGCACGCTGGGTGTGGCTGCGGGGTGCGGGCGGGCGCGGGAGGCCGGTCTCGAGTCCCCCAGCAGCTCCGCGCCCGCCGCGCCATGTGGCGCCGCACCAGCCCGGACTCCCACACACAGCGGCTCCCCACGGGGCTCTGGGCAGGTGGGGCGCTGGGGGCCTCCACCATGCCTGCCGCTGGGAAGCAGCCCTCAGAGACCTCCCGTTCCCCAGACCCCCCGAGGGCCCGGGCTGCCAGCACAGCGCAGGGGACGGCTCCCAGCACGGCGCCATCGACCGGGGCTTCTGGGAGACCTTCGGAAATGCCGAGCCTGCCCAGGCCCGCAGGTCCCCGAGCAGCGACGGCTGGGCCTGTGCCAAGGCCGCGGACAGCTGGGATGTGTGGGGCTCAGGCTCCGCGTCCAACAAGAACAGTGATGCCAGCGACGTCGGGAAGGCCTGGGGGGGCGGTGGGGAGGGCAGGGCCACGGCCGCGCAGGTGGACGAGGGCTGGGACAGCCAGGACTGGTAGGCCCCGGGTGCCGCGCGTCTGCCCTCCGGTGTCACAGCGCCTCCTGTTCCACCCGAGAAGCACCGGCCCCGGTGCAAAGACGGCGCCCTGGGCAGGCCCCTGGCAGTGGTGCCGCCGGCCTGTAGGGGAGGCCGGCCGCGCCCCAATAAACACTCTCCGAGTGCTCGCCGCGTGTCTGGGTGTGCTCCACTGCTCTGCAGGAAACGCCTGAGGTTTTAGCCCCAAATTCCTAAAGCAGCTGCGGAGCTGGTGCTGCCATTGCCCCCACCCTCAGCAAGGCGCTCTGCCTCACCCCGACCCCTGACCCCTGACCCGGTGTCTGTGCTCACACTTGGCTGTGCCCTCTGAGCCCATGGGGTCCCCACCCAGGATGCCCTGAGCAGCTCAGACGGGAGCTGGAGTCCGGTGTGGTCAGAGAGCGGGAAGGCCAAGCACCCTTACTCAGCCCTGCCAGGCCTGGCTGCACAGCGGTGGGCAGTCTCCCCAGGGACCCCTCCCAGGCCGTGGAGGAGCAGGATGGGGCCTTCGCGGCAGGGGCTCTGCCACGCTGTCCTGGGTCTTGCCTGTCGGTGTCACGGGAGACCAGTTAACCAGTTTGCCTCAGCAGCTGGGAGCGTGAAGCAAGTGTGTGTCTGGCCGGGCACTGCTGTCCCCACCGGCACGCAGCTCCGCCCGTGTGCTGTCCCTTCCTGCGCTGACCGCCTCTTGTTTTCTGTGCCCCCGGCTTTGAGCCGCTTTGGGCCCCTGTCCGTGGTCAGGTCCTAACAAGGCTCCCGTTTGCTCCCTGTTGGTTTTTGACCACTTTGCTTGTGGCACGAGGTGGTGGCAAGTCTTTGAACACACACCTGCTGGCCATCATGTCACTGTCAGCCAAGCTTTGAGCAGGTGCAGTGTGACTGTCAGGACGGAGACCCCACAGCCTGCGCTAGTCCCTGAGGCTTTGGTGGATCCAACAGCTCTCCTGGCTCTCGTTTGCCCCTCCGATGCCCAGCACAGTGACCAGGAGCGGGCCCTGTGGTGTCAGACGTGCTCTGGTATGGAGCCCTCAGACACGTGTCTTGTGCTCAGACCTGCTTCCAGAATGCTGACGTGTGGCTGGGACCCCACAGAGTCAGGGCACAAGGCCCTTGCTGTTCAGGTGCTGTCTGAGGCGGGGCCCAGGGTGAGGGGTACAGGACCTCCCAGCTGCATTGGGGAGCCAGGCCTGAGGGTCTGGCCAGTGGCCCTCCTGTATAGGGGCGCTGGTGGCACAGCAAAGCACACAGGAGCAGAGTGGTCTGGGGAAACCCCAAAAGGACCGCTCCCAACATGGGCATGTGTGGGGGACAGGCCAGGCCGTGGCATGGGTTTATGCCCTGGGCGGACACTTCTTGGACCTCATTAGGACCTGACCGCAGGACAGGGGCAGCTGGCTCCCTTTGGGCCCCCCCGGAGAGCAGAAAGGTCTCTAATGGGCACCTGCCTGTCACTCAGGGCTGGACAGCATCTCCTGTTACAGGGCAGGCCAGCACAGCGGCTGCCTGGCCCTGGGTGGACACTCCCTGAACCCCGTGCTTGGGGCCGCCGGCCGGCCACATGGTCTCTGCCCTGCGTCCGAGCCTGCGTCCTGAAACCACTGAGGCGTGAGGGGCCGCGTGGAGGAGCTGTCTCCTCCTGGCTGCCCGAGGCTCACACGTCTGAGTGGGGCCTCGGGGGGCACAGAGGCCAGACGCGTGGAGGCGGTAGGTGTCAGGTGCAGGCAGGTCCCGGTGGGACTGGCCCAGAGTCCGCTCTTGGCCGAGTCCCAGTCTGCAGCCCTCACCCCTGCTGGTGAGCCAGGCCTCTGCCCCTTGGGCCAGCTGAGTGGGAGACGACCACCAGTTGGGAAGCTGCCCTCTACCCCTGGCCTCCTGCCTGCAGTCCCACCCAGACTCTGCCTTCGGGAGGCTAGGCAGACCTGGGACCCATGTGTGCACCACCAGGCTCGGCCTCCTGGCCAGCCTTGGCCATCTGTGTGCCCAGACTCCCTGCTTAAGACACAGTGCTGACCAGCAGACATGCGTCAAGGCCAAGGCCCTGGCCAGCTTAGCTTTTTTCTTGGAAGTTTCACATGACCAGTGGTGCTTTGTGCGTCCTCCCGTCCACGCATCCTCTGCTGCCACCCTTATCTGTGGTCACTCCCAGCCAGGGATCCCAGCCGGCGGCCTCTGCCTGCAAACCCAGCGCTGTGGCTCTCCTGGGACCCCACACTGGAGCTGGGGCCGGTGTGGAGGCGGACAGGGTTGGGGGCAGGTCAGGACTGGAGTTCCTGACGCCACCTGGAGCTCGCAGTGGCCTCCGGGTCCCCATCTGCATGTGACGGGGAGGAGGGGCATGCTCCAGCTGCTTCCAGAACAGGATTCTTGCTCGGTGAGGGGTCAGCACCCAGCTCTGTCTTGCCTATTCTCAGCCGTGCCCCTGGGTGGTGTGTTCCCCGACACTAGCTAGCCTCTGGGGCTGCGGGGCACAGGTGTCGCGGGGCGGGCAGGCAAGAGCGCCGAAGCCTTGACTGTCTCGCCTGCGTGGAGGGCAGCGTGTGGCAGGCTGCATGTGTGCACACGTGTCCCCAGTGCCCTGAGCCGAAGTAGTGTCCAGCTGCCTGGCCAGGCGCCTTCTCCTGGCCGCTGCTCGGGTCTGCGGATTCTTGGGGTGGGCTGCCTGGGTCCCAGGGCTCTCCACACCTGGCGCCCCTCAGCATTGTAGGGCCCCCACCGGATGCCGTGGGTCCCCCCAGCCACAAGCCTCAGACACAGGGCTCTGTTCCCTTGAGGCCCCAGGGTGCCAACCACCAGGAGAAGCTAGGCTCGCGACGCTGTCCGTGGTCTGGACGGCGAGGCCGGGAGGGGCCCTGAGGGACCTGGGCCAGGCTGGCCCTGGCTTCAGCACCCTCGCCGGGCCTGGGACCGTGAACCCCCAGCGGCACCCAGGCTTCGAGCTGGCCGACTGGCCCGCGAGAGCGGCAGGGGGTCTGGGGAGGGCCTCGCGCCCTCGCGCGAGTTAGAGAAGACTGTCCACTGACCCCTCCGAGCCTGCAGCTGAGGGCCCGTGCTGCCTGCGCCCGCCTGCCCCAAAGTGCCTTGGAGGCAGAAGCCGAACCCAGAGCCCAGCCAGAGCTGCCCCGCCCCCCCCCGGGCTTCCTGCAGCCTCTGAGCACCCAGTGGCGAGGTCCGCGCCCCCCTCAACTATCTGGGCAGGGGTGGGGACCGGGCCAGGGCTGGCTGGGCTTCCAGTTCCAACCAGGTGAGCCAGGTGGTGGGGCGTCCCATTGGGGTGGAGGGTGCAGACCCAGGAGGACCGTGCACAGTTCCTGGGCAGCGGGCCTGCCGCGTGGAGGCCAGTGGGCCTGGCCACCGGAGACGGCCAGCAACCTGGTGCTGGGCGAGCGGGGAGGCATGCAGCTGGCGTCCCAGGGTCCAGGTGCTGCTCCAGGTCCCCTCCTCGTGGCTGCCAGAGACCCCCCGTGCCCGTCACCGCACCGCGGCATCCAGGAAAACGCGCGGTGCCCTTCGTCCCCGCAGTGCCTTCCCTGTGAGTCCCTGGGGGTGGAGCCCGTGGGTGAGGAATAAAAGAGTTTGGCCGGTGCTGGATCCCCACGGGGTCCCCGCCCTGCCAGGAGGGGTGTCCTTCGCACTGGGACCTCTATGCCCCCGCTCGTGGAGGGACGTCCTGGGAGGCAGACAGGAAGTGTGGAGAGCCAGGGGAGGGACAGCCGAGGGTTGGGCCGCAGGCAGACAGGGCGGTGACGTCGGAGGAAAGGGGCCGTCATAAGCCCTGGCCTCCGGTGGACCGGGGCCAGAGTGGACGTGAGCACTCACTCAGGGAGCGAGGGGCGCCCCCCTCGGAGCAGGAGCAGGTGGGTGCCGTGCCTGCGGTCCTGGGCTGGGCGGGTAAGGGGGGCCACCGGGAGACCCGCGGGGTCTGCCATCTGAGCGTGAGCTTGACGTTTTAGGGTGAGCGGAGCTCAGCTCCTGCTGGCAGGGTTACTCCCTCGAGTGAGGCGCGGTTCCGGCAGGGGGTGGGCGTCTGTCTGCGGGAGGTTGGGGATCCAGGTACCAGGAGCACCAGATTGCCCTCCAGTCCCCCCTTCCCAGCCTGAGGACTTCCAAGCTTGGCAGTGGGTGGCATGCCCGTCCTGGCTGTCCCTACCCTGCGTGGGGCAGGGGGCCTGAGACCCTGCCCTGTGTGTCCCCTCTGCCCTGCCAGCAGAGGCCCAGAGGCAGCTTGGGGCCAGAAGCGTGTCCCCAGAGGGCTCCCCTAGGACCCCAACCCACCTCCATGGGGCTCCTCTTCCCCCGCTGAGAGGCAGGCTCCGGGCTGGGAGCTGGGGCGCTACTCCCGAGGTTCTGCTCCCACTGGGGACTCAGGCCCTCCCCTGCCCACCTCAGTTTCTTCCCCAGGCCCCTCAACCCTGACGGCAGCCGTCCTGGCTGGTCTGATGATGAGCGGGTGACCAAAGCAGCGGTCAGCGCCCGTGCTGGCCTGTGGAGAACGTCTGAAGGGAGGGGTGTGGGACCAGGGCTGTGACAGGGCCAGGCGCTCCAGGGTGGACGGGGTAGCAGGACAGCCGACCTCTCGCTCCCAGAAGCTCCGGCCTGGGCCTTTGGACGGGGCCCAGGTGGACAGGCCTTGGGGTCCCCACGCCTGCCCATGGGGGGCCAGCGTGCATGCGGAAGCTCCGGCTTGGCGGTCAGGAGGGGCGGACGTGGACGTGGCTGAGTGGCCTCTCTGCCCGCAGGGCCAGGGCCATGAGTGCCCACGTGCACCCCCGCCTGGGGGTCTGCCTCTGGCTGTGGCTGAGTGTCACCCTGAGACATGGCCTGGGACAAGGTAAGGACATGGACGGGGCTTCCTGGGGATCATGCCGTCGGCCCCCACTTGGCCCCCACGCCGCCCAGGGCGGAGGCCCCACTGCCAGCGAGCCTTCTGCCTCCCGCTCCCCATGGGACCCGTGCTCCATGTGGAGACAGGGAAGGACAGCCCACGGGCCCCCGTCCCCTCCGCCCGCGCCTCGCCCAGCTCTCTGCTGGACCTCTGGCCTTGCCTCGCGCTGCCCCTGCTCTCTGGCTCCTGTGTTAACCGGCGTCCACACTGTGCATTTAATTTTCTTACCACTGTCTGGTGTTCAGCGCTTCCGCGGGTGCCTTTTCCTTGTAAAATCTTCAGGTAGCCCAGACCCACAGTAAGAGCGCCCCCCGCGGCACTGGCTGTCGGCAGTGGGCTTCCGGCACCTTCCCAGCTGCGTCAAGGCGCGTGCAGGGGTCACAGCTCACACCGCTTCCGCCCCCAGCCCTGACGTGCGGTACCGTGCCACGTGTCACGCCTCTTGGTGGCTGGCTGCACCGTGTGGGGACGCTTGAACCCCACTGCTGCCTGTGGGCATCTTGGCGAAACACCCCAAGGGACACAGCCGAGCTCATCTCAGGAAGCCGGGCTGGAGGACGGTCTCGGCCCCCTGGGGACTCTGAGGCTCTGGCCGGGCCATGTGTGTCCCTGACACGCGCCCAGCTCCCACTGGGCGGCGTGGGGCAAGTGGCTGCATGGCATCGCGGTCCTCTGCGCCCCTGGGCCACCGCCGAGGCCAAACAGCATGCCACTGAGCCGGCTCTGCCTGGCCATCATGCAGGGAGCAGCGTGGCCCGCTGACCGCCACCTGGTAGGGGGCGTGTCCTCTGGTTTCGCACCCAGGTTGGTGACTGCCGCTTGGGTGAGTCCCTCGGTCCCTGTGGCTCTGACAGGCCCCCCCGAGGTAGGGCCAGGCCACAAAGTGACACCATGACAGGTTGAATTCAGGCCTCACGGGCTGCGCTCCGAGTAGACCCTGGGCGGGCTAGGCCTGTGTGTTCTGGAAGCTTTTCTCAAGGAAGCCCTGGGGGGGATATTTTTGGGGGGATGCTTCCCACTGGCTGGCCCCCAGCTGTCTTCACGGGGCTCTGCCAAAGCCCTATGTGGAGATCCCAGCAGACATCCCGGGTTCCTCCCCCCGCATGTCAGAGGCGCAGTGACACACAGAGCGTTCTTCACGAGCCAGCGCTGGGTCCCCTGCTCACAAGTGGCTTTTCAAAGGCCCCTGCCCTCCCCGACATTCCTGTCCTGCAGCCTGACTCTCCAGGGGAGCGGCCTGCGTGCCAGGACAGGCTCAGCTGCTTCCGTCTCTGAGGCCGTCCTGTGTCTGCCCTGGGCACCCTGACCCCCCTCCCCACCCCCGCTCTCAGCAGAGTGGCCAGAAGAAGCCCGTCTCTGTCCTGTTTTCCAAAAATAGCCGCCTCCACCAGGGAGCCCCCGGATGCTTCCTGGGAGGCCGGGTCATGTCCCTGAGGCCACATGAACCCAGCTGTGATCTTGGCAGCTGGGGGTCTTCTGCTCGGACTAAGACTCGGGAGGGGAGACCGGGCAGCTCCAGGGCCCAGGCTGGCG